GTCTCTAGTGAATCCTCTCACCCCATGCACCTCTGACCTGTATCCCAGTTCTGTACGCATAAATAAATCATAAAAAAAATTACCAAGGCAAAAGCCAAAGTATCTCTTTTTTAAAGATTAATTTTATTTATTTATGCATAGAAGAACTGCGCTTTAGACCAGATGTGGGGGTTGGGGAGGCATGTGAGAGGATTCACCAGAGATGAAGTCGGGAGCAGAATAAGCTATTCAACTGAAATACAGTTCTGAGGGGAGCAGTAGATAAGATAGGAGAGGTCTGCTGCACCATGTGGGTCAGGTCCCTGGCCGGGGATTGGAATGCATGCTGTAAGTGGCTGGTGACAACTTGAAGTACTGTGGCTTTAACCCCTGTACCACCTTTCTACTTCTTTGCTGAAGCTAACACAAATTTTCTGTAGTGGCAGAAGCCTTCATTGGGGGCCTCAAATATTCCAATGAATATATATTAAGCAGCAAAGTCAACTAGAGCCAAACAAACAAAAACTATAAGACACATGAGTCACAATGAGCAGGGAAAAAGAGAACACTGAGACCTTAGACTTTACATCTTAGAATTATGAGGTACAAACTCATTAACTACACTTAGTATAATTAAAGGAATAGACGTTTAAAGAAATTTGAAGGGAAAAACACAAACACAATTTCTAAGCTGTAAATGAATAAATGCATTAGTTAAAGTCCTATGCATAGTTTAAGAGCACCATAGATAGAGAAAAAAAACTGAACTGAAAGAGAAAAAAAAAATTACCCTTAAAGTAGCATGGTAAGACCAAAAAATGAGAACTACCAAGTCATACAGGACAGAATGAGAGGTGTAACATTTAGCTAATGAGAATACCAAAGGGAGAGATGAGAATACCAAAGGGAGAGAAAAGAATGAGGCAAATGAAACATCATATAATAGCTAAACATTCAAGATTCAAAAAGGCCAAAAAATGCCAAGCAAGATGCATAAAGAAAAATCCACTGTGATAGAAATAGCACACTGTACACTTGTATGAATTAAAAATACACACAAGGCAGCTATGGTATGTCTAACGGAGACAATAGGTATTAAATAGGTTTCATATGGGTTGTATTGATCAACTGATAAAAATGCTATGGCCAAGCATTTGCTGGAACCTAGTCCTGTACTTCCCCTAAGAGCAATGCTTCAGTGACTGTGGGGACCTTCTAGGACACAATTACCATGAATAGTGAGACATGACTACACAAAGAAAAGAATAGGCATTAAGCAGATTTAGAATGGTCAGCTGGTGGGGGTGGAAAATGAAATGGGAGACAGGGCAAAAGGGAAAAAGTAAGTTCATTAAGTGTATTTGCACACACCAACAAATTTAAGGTGCCATGAGTGGAGGAGAGTGATAAATCAGCTCTGAATCTGGAAACCAAATAACTAATCAAAAAGTGAAAACATGATACATTCTAGTAAGAGAGGTTCAGTCCCACCACAGAGCATAAACTAACAAGACAAGGAAGGGAAAAGAAGAAATTCCTTAAAATAAAAAGAAGACTTAAGATACCTGAGGTACACTGTGTTTTCCATACTTCCAAAACTTATTCTGTGATAAAAGAGACTTAAATTTCTCCTCCAGAGATTCAAGCTCATTATCAGGTAAGAGGCAAAGCAATTTCTTTAATGCCAATAAGGAACAAGTTACAACTCGATAAAATTTAGCTTCTCTCTCTTCCTCTGGAACAGTTCTTGATGGAAAAGGAAAAAAATACACATATAAGGATTAAGAATAAGCCACACGGTATATATAGTACTTACACTTTAGATGTTTTATCATTAGATATCTACCAAGGTTGTTTCACTTCTACACTCTAGAGTCCCTGTGGCAACCCCTCCTCAAAATACTAACATACATTCTATTAACATACTTTCCTAATACCAGGTGAAAAGATGAAAATCCATTACATAAAGTGTACAAATATACCGCTCTAAGGAGCATGTAATAGAGTGACCCTAAGGAAACAGATTATCAATACATCCAAGATTACTTTCCCTCATAGACTCAGGCTGTTCAGACCATTACAATAAAAGTAAATGGAACATTTTACTACTCTTCCAACAGAATTATTCTTGGCTTTTCAACTATTTCCAACTAGACTATAACATGGTTTCTGCTATGAAAATCAAAGGGTTAGTGTTAGAAAAATATAAAAACATCTCTATGTAGGAGAACCAAACATGCAGCACTAAGACAATTCAACTAAACAATTTCCAGGAAAAAGTACCTGAAACATGCAGGTAAAACAGCACCTGACAAAATATTACATTAAATATCTTCATCTCTACATTTAGAATGTACCTTTTTAAATATTACAAACTTATTTACCTACGAGTTAAATACTTAACATAAGTTTCTTAGAAACAACACAACTTACTGTGGGTCACTGAGTGTATCAGGTGTTTCTTTTATAAGATGATCATGTAGTACCTGTAGAGGAGGGAAATATTCCTTAGCCTTGAGATTTTATTGAATTGCAAGTGATAAACAGATAAAAGTCCAAACTTTTATACATAAAAGTTTTTAAACTCCTCCCCACAAAAATAGCAAAATTAATAGCAAGTGGTTTGAAATTTACCTATTTTTTCTCCTATCAATTCCCAAGACTGGATGTCACTGGCAAAAAGGACATGATACTTTCTCCCAAACATCTGTTTTCATCAAGAGGAATTTTCCCCTAACTGCTCCCACCCCTTCCTCTTGCATACAATGTGATGAACTGGAATAGCCAGAGTCTTTTTGAATGACTCTGCCCATGAGGGAGACTCACACAGTGCTCTGTTCCACCATGGGGAAGATCTGAAGGCTCCATCTGAAATGTATTAGGACTGCCCCTACCTGGGGTGCAGTGCTAGAGCACCCATGGCTCCAGGATCAATTGCACCAGCAAAAATCACAGCTCATATTTACTGTTATTCACATGTCAGATACTGCTATGAGTACATTTTACACATCACGTTAATCAATCTTAACAAAAATCCTTTGAAGTACAAGTTAACTGCCATTAAAATGAGTGAGGCACAGAATTCTGCCCAATATCACACATCTAAGCTAATGACAGAGTGGAAAAGAAAAACCAATGGAATGACCAGTAGCCCACATTGTTACTGACACAAATCTGACAATTATGATCTTCATTTCCTAACTCCTCTGTAACAAAATTAAACTTGAGAAAGTTCAAACCCAATATATGTAATGAACTGTGACACAGCCAACTAAAGAGAATTTAACATGGGATTAAAAAAATCTACACATTCAATGATCAGTTATCCATCTATAACAAAACCAAGAAAAAAAAATCAAGCAAGCAAAACATCCTATACAAGTCAAATTAGTTATCTAAAAACCCATTTCCTAATGTCCAAATTTAATATCCAAGCTTCACTGTAAGATCTATCACTTGTTTTAAAAAAATTAAGCAATGATTTTTAATTTACTATTGGGTCAGGGAACTTACTGTAAGCATATAACTAAAACTACAATCCCTTTCCCTACAAAAAACAAGTATACCTAAAAAAATGAAAGGTGTAAAAAGCTCTATTCTCTAAATAGAGAAATAAATGTGTACATGTGGAAGAGTAGATGCAGAGGTCAGACACTAAGCAGAGCTCAGATCACTCAGGACCCTGCATGCCAATACAAGAAATCTGGAGTTCAATACAATGGGAAGCACAGGAAGGCTGACAGGCTCAAAGGAAGAAACAAAGGCAGGAGGATATTCGGGTAGAGTCATACACAGAGCACTTCCGATCAAAGGATCATAATCATGACATGTTTAAAATCCTCAATTCCTCCCTCATTCATGGTCTACCTGCTTTTATTTTTTGATATAATACTAACAAGCTTGATGGTCTGTTTTCTTTCTCCCCAATTCATTTATTAGAAAGAGCAAATAAGGGTGGGAGAAATAAGATGTAGACAAAATGTAAGCCATAAATGCGACAGCTATTATCAGTCTAGCAAAACGTTGGCCAAGCTTGGAGAAACTCACATATCTATTAATGGGAATATAAATTTAAAAAGCCTTTTGAAGAGTAACTTATCAATATCTCATAAAAATTTTAAGTGTTCTTATCTTGATTCAGCATATGGTTACTTGAAGGTTTTAGTAACTTTCAATTACACAGGGAATGAAGGAATCTATTTAAGAATATTCAATGAAACAGGATTTGTTAAAAAAAAAATCTGGGGGAAACCCAAAACTTATATGTTAATATAAAAGCAACTACCTACTATTTATCCCTACAAATGAATACAAATAGCAAACAAAAAGAATAAAAGGTGCTTATATCCCTTAAATATTTAAAAAAATAATAAAGATGCAGAACAATTCCAAGAACTTACACTGGCAATTTCATCTTTACAAAACGCAATGGCCTCAGGTTGCTTGCTGGGAGGGAAAGCTGCTTCAAAGGCATCTTTTGCTGCACATGCAGCTGGTGTGTAAGTATCACATTGAGCCATCAGCCAATAGCCCATTAAGCTTTTTAGATATGGAGCCAATTGTTTCTTTACTTTAAGGATAAGTTTTTCAAAAGCTTGCTGTGTGGCTTCTCGAACTCGTCGATCATGGTCCTATGGAAAATATAACATGGTTTAAAATACTCCTAGCCCATAAAGAAAAGCACAGAGCACATATTTTAATATATGCTATGGTGACCTATTAATAAGAACTGACCCATGTACAGAGGTTAAATACAATCAGTAATATCTGAAATAATTTTTCTTTTTTCCCTTCTCCCAATGGAATAAGAATATATTCAAGGTAGTCAAGGGCAGACCTTCAATAATTAAGCAATTCATTCTTAATCTTCTGTAGCAAAAATACAGCAAATAAATAGTGAAAATTTATTATGACTGTAGCATCGGGACAATTCTCTAGTAATGCCCTAATTCTGAAAATAAACAGACTCCCTATAGACTTAATACAATCTAACATAATCTGATATGCACAATAATGCTGACAGAACATTTCATAAACTTCACCAAAATAGAATCATATAAATTTGACAGTTCCCATGACTTCAACCAAAAAATATGCAACAGAAATAAATGAGTAACATCTTAATACTTACCAGTGAAATTTTACAGAAAATTCTTGGCCAATAGGGAAGAACTCCTTTTACAATTTCTGTTTCTCTCTCTGTACACATGGTTCCAAATTCCTGCATAGCCTAAAGCAAATTATTGACATCATTAAGGCTCAACAGCCAAAATATTGGCTAATGATCATATTTTTCTGGCCTAAGAGTTATTTAATGTAACAGGAAAATAATACTGTTTCTGTCTGTGCCTTAAGGGACAAATTTGAAGTTCCTTCACAGGCTACTGTAGTAGAATCTTTTCAATTGTTTGTAAAAAAGTAAAATGTATACTATCAAAAAAGCCCATTTAAAAGTATAGGGGGGCCCTACCTGGTGGCGCAGTGGGTTAAAGCACAGCACTAAGAAACTAAAGCTACTTCAGCATAAGTTCGAATCCCGCCCGCCCCAGAGGTGACCACATGGTGGCAGACCTCTCCTGACCCGCCCACTGCTCCCTTCAGCAGTGTACTTGGTCAGTCGGCCTGCTTTGCCCCTCAAAATAGAATCATATAAATCTGTCTCTGGTGAATCCTCTCACCGTCCCTGCACCTCTAGCCTGTACCCACAAATAAATCTTTAAAAAAAAAAAAA